ATGATGGATCATGTCATTCCGTTGCTGCTGCTCCGCTTCTTCGATGGGTGTTTGGTGACGGGGATCCGTTCGTTCAGGTGGTAGCGTTTCGTTTGCCAGCTGCACCATTGCCTGTACAAGTTCGTTGCTTGCATTTGGCTTGTCGATAGGACTTAAGTGAGACATCCACTTTCCTACACGCGGATCCAAGTACGCAACCCACCTAAGCTCGCTTTTCTCCAAGTCCTCGAATCTTTAACGTACAATGTTAGCATTCCCTTTCTGCAGTCATTCACCATTAACACCGTTTGAGCCACGTACGCTTCGTCACCGGCTTCTGCCTCAAGACTGGCAAAGAGATCCGTCTTCTCCAAATGCTTTCGAATACCGGATAACACAGGGAGAACCAGCGGCATCGTAGGATAAGTTTGTCCACCTAGTGTTTCTGAGGCAACGGCAAACGGCCCCAGCAGAGCTCGCAAGCACTTTATAGTGAGCCATTCCTCGGCAGTTGGACGATATAATTTTCTTGCCACATCTTTGAACTCTCGGATACCTTCAGGATTTTTCAGGTACGTGAAAAACTTCACTAGAACTCTATCATTCTTTGGAGCATTTTGCCAGCAACTATTCCATCTTGTGGCGCAGTCGACAATAGGCTTCTTAACTTCGTGATCTTTGACGCTGAAATGTTCAATTTGAAGAGCATTTAATCGGTTACAGCCCTTTGCTGACTTTCTAAAGTACACAGCAAGCGTCCGGAAGCGCTGAACAATTTCACGTACCCTATCCATCTCATTACGGTGAACCAACTCAATTGTGTCGTTTAAGAACTGCTCCATGTCATCGATTGCAACTTCGCGGAACCCCTCGATTTGGTTCCTGTCATCCACAGTCAGTGAAGCTTCTTCCTCATGTTCCACAACTGGTTCACTGCTTTCGGCAGCAACTTCAGCAGCCCAATCTGGCTCATCGGCGACACCACTCGCCCGTTTCTTCTTAATCATTGCCCCTCCAACGACTAGGTGCAGGCAGTGTGCTAGGCATGACATGTGCTCGACATGTAATAGTTCACCAGCAGCAACCATGTTTGTGCCTCCATCTCTCAAAAACCGGACACAGTAGAGCTTAGACAACTGCCATTCCTCCATAATTTGTTCAATCGCGTCTGCAATGGCGTTTCCATCATGAATGCCGGCCAGCTCTTTAACTTCCAGAGTTTAATTCTGAGGGCAAAATTCATCGTCCACGTAATGTATAGTCAACGAAATGTAGCTTTTCGTGTTTCTGGAAGTCCAAATATCACAGGTCATTGAAAAATACCAACATCCCTTCACAATGGCATGTCGTACTCGCTTTCGATACTCCACAGCCAAAGCCACTATTTGTTGTGCGATCTTAGTTCGCTCAGGAAGCCTTATTTTGATTCCACAAATATCTTCGGTAATGTATCGAATAAATACGACAAATCCAGCATCTTCCACAATCTTCATCGGCCGAAAGTGCCGTGCGATCCACTCAGCAAGAAGAAGATTTACGCGTTTCTGTTGCTCCGCTGAAATGGTACGCAACTGCCTTTTCCATTATGAAGAGGAACTTGGCCTGTGCTCTGATTTCGCTGCCCCGCTTTGGTGTTGTACACCTTTAGCTCTTCAGAATGGTAGATTTCCATATGCTGCGGCAACTTCGACTGACCAACACGAAACTTAACTTTTGCACTGCAAAGTAAACAATACGCGAGCTCGGCATGATCGTTATTCAAATCATTACGCTCAATTTGTCTGCACGCCTCGCTTCGAATGAGCCGAGCGAAATGCCAAACATCTCTCCTCTTCTGACGTTTCATAGTAAAGAGCACTAATCCCGATTCACTTTCAGCACGCTGTTGCAGTACCTGGACGTCAATGACGGCACCTTCGTTTTCGAGAACAGGAGGGCGGATGCATGGGTGCTGGGGTTGCTGTGGCGACTGGTATTGCCAGAATTGTTCCTGTGTCTGATGCTGCCAGTGCTGCGTCTGTGACTGTCGGTCTTGCCAGAATTGCTGTGGATGCTGTGTGAGCCGCTCCTGCACCTGTGGCTGGTGTGCTTGCCAGAGATGGAGAGGTTGCGCTTGCCAGAGCTGCTGTGGCCGCGGTTGCAGCGAGAGCTGTTGCTGGGACTGGTGCGATTGTCGAGAGAACGACCTCGATGGTTGAGCCGGGACGGAAGCTGGCACTGCAGTAGGCACTTCGTCATCGTAAGAAAGCACACGCCGAGGCGCTGGCGTACGGAGAGGACGTGGCGTGTGATGGCCGCGCGACTCGCGCCGCGAGTGCTGCTGTGCCTCCATAGGTATCGGAAAATGATGATCGCCTTCTCAGATAACACACAGCACGAACAAAACACTTGAATAAAGTATGTGCATAGTTTAACGCCGATGTACCATTGAGGATGTAGAAGGTAGTTGAAGTAGGTTTGAAGGGATTCAGATACCTTTCAGGGGTACCTCCGGATGCAGAGGTAACGGGAGGTTCACAAAGGTTCAGCGCCTGAACCTTCACACCACTACCGGTGATTGTCCACCGATGACGTCGCTAGATATACAACACTACATTGATACCGGTAATACGGCGATAATGCTAAAACGGAGGCGACAGGCTCAAACCGAGGATGCCGTAAATTGAGGACAACGTTTCTAAGATGATGCATGCAGGCGTAATAAAAGAAGGAAATGAAGCCTGGGGGGTTCCTGTTGTGCTCGTACGGAAAAAGGATGGTGAAGTTAGATTATGTATTGATTATCGAGCTCTGAACAAGGTCACGAAGCGTGATGTATACCCGCTGCCCCGTATTGACGAAACCCTCGAAGTTTTGCGTGGAGCCCAGCTATTTACTACGCTCGACCTACGTTCAGGCTATAGGCAGATTGGAGTAGCTCCCGAAGATCGTGATAAAACCGCTTTTACCACAAAACAAGGGTTATATCGGTTTAAACGCATGCCGTTTGGACTAATGAACGCTCCGTCGACTTTTCAGCGAATGATGAATGGCGTCTTACGTGGGCTAACATGGACGACTTGTTTAGTTTATCTGGACGACATAGTAATCTTCACACGCGGTGGAATTTGGCATCATATTGTGCAACTAGCTACCGTGTTACAAAGACTGTGCTCAGGCTCAAATTAAAGAAGTGTTTATTTGCTACGCGTACGATCGAATACCTGGGCCATGAACTGAGTAACGACGGCGTACGGCCTGTGGAACGTTTGATATCGGCGGTTGCGGAGTTCCCACGCCCGCAGGATCCGGTGGAAGTGAAGCGCTTCGTACATTTGGCTGGCTACTACCGCAAATTTATAGAAGCGTTTGGCTCCATAATGGCACCGATGACGCGTCTCTTGAAGAAGGAATGCCCATGTAAGTGGACAGAAAAGCAGCAGTTCGCTTTCGAGTGAGCGAAAGGGATTCTGACGACGGTTGGTGACCGATGTGAGCAAGGTGGGACTGGGCGCCTGTTTGATGCAGGACCAAGGCCGAGGCTGGGAGCCGATCGCATATGCAAGTAAAGTACGCGTACGATCGAATACCTGGGCCATGAACTGAGTAACGACGGCGTACGGCCTGTGGAACGTTTGATATCGGCGGTTGCGGAGTTCCCACGCCCGCAGGATCCGGTGGAAGTGAAGCGCTTCGTACATTTGGCTGGCTACTACCGCAAATTTATAGAAGCGTTTGGCTCCATAATGGCACCGATGACGCGTCTCTTGAAGAAGGAATGCCCATGTAAGTGGACAGAAAAGCAGCAGTTCGCTTTCGAGTGAGCGAAAGGGATTCTGACGACGGTTGGTGACCGATGTGAGCAAGGTGGGACTGGGCGCCTGTTTACCAAGGCCGAGGCTGGGAGCCGATCGCATATGCAAGTAAAGTAAACAGCAGCGCGGAAAGTAACTACTCGATGACGGAACTGGAGTGCTTGTCCGTCGTATGGTCCGTCAAGTTATTTAGACCCTACTTATATGGCAGAAGATTTGAGACTGTCACGGATCACGCAGCCTTGAAGTGGCCGATGACGGGAAAAACTAACGAGGGCCCTCCTAGAGAGGGCCCTCACACAAAACGGGCAGAGGTATTACCGGTACTGTTACCGGTACAGCGTTACCGTACTGTAACCGGTACAGCGTTGCCAACCAGACGAAAGGTTGTTAACATATTGAAAGGTTGTAAGAGTACCATTACTGTGGATGGGGTTGCCGTACGCGAATGGCTGGCGTGTACAGGAGCTCAGTAGCGAGTACCACAAACCACTTTACCGTACAATGGAGAAGGAGAAACCCCCGGCAAAACAATGCAGTAACCAATAGGGATATCCACCAACCGGGATCGCTCCTCGCGTGCCACAGTGTAACATCCGGCGTAAACTCTTAATTGTGTACCACTTTCGAGCGCGACGACGACACTAGCTGGAATGCTGCGGGGAAAACGCATCTTGACAGCTTCCACGTCGCTACTTGTGAAGTCTGCATGCGGTCCTTGCTCAGGCCCACCAGGGCGCGAGTACAAAAATGAATAAACTTGTGCTCGAAAGTTTGCATCAACTAGTGTAACCACCTCCTCAATTTTCCTGTGGAGCTTTTTCATCTGTGGCGAAAGACAATTTTGACGTGATTGGCTTCGGAATGTGTCGTCTTCTTCGCCACCCACCTCACGGAAAACACTGATATAATCAGATCGTCTTGCTTGTCGAAGCACACATGAAATAGTTGCTTGCGTGAGATTGAGGGGCAGCACTAGATAGCCGTCGGGCGGAACCTCAAGTCTTGGGTTGGAAGCCATTTGAAGACTGAAGCTGTTTTCGTTCAGATAGCACTTTGGAAGATCTATTTACGTCACAAGCTGTCTATTGCATCACTAACGATTTTTTTGCATCACTAACGGTCTTTTTGCATCATTAACGGCTGCGTCACTAACGGTCTATTTGCAGCACTACCGGTAATACCTCTGCCCGTTTTGTGTGAGGGCCCTCTCTAGGAGGGCCCTCGTTAGTTTTTCCCGCCGATGACCCGTCCGAACTTGGCGGGAAGACTACACAGATGGACGTTGACTTTGCAGGAATACGAATTCGAGATCTTATACCGACCCGGCACGACGAACGTTGTTGCTGACGCGCTCTCACGAGCATCTGCAGCAGCCTCAGCAACGGTGTTGGCGATATTAAGGGGCGGCCGACGTCGACAAGCCACACACATAGAGGCGGAGATGAAAACAGAAGACGGAGAGTTGCCCTCGAACGTCGCAAAACAGGAAGCGGGGCAGGTAGCTAGACGGATCATAGCCACGGCAACAAGCGCAACGAAGCCAGTGCCGATGTCCCAGACGGTAGCAGCATACAGACGTGTTTGCGGACGCTCCAACGGACGCAGTAAATTCAGTGATGTCTGAAAGAGGGCAGGACGAAGCCGACGGACGCCACGAGCGGCTCAACCGCAGCGACCGAGCACGCGGGCGGCTGCTCGAGAACGAGAAGCCCGTGAAGCCGAAGAACAGCTGATGACCGCTCTCGAACCTTCGTGCGAAGACTGTGCCGGAGCAGGACGGACCGTAGACACGAAGACCTCAACGCCACCGAAGCCGATAATGACGAACGAGATCCCGATGCAATTATACAAGGACCTGGAACGCCACGTGTCGTGGGCAGAACCAGTAGTGAACATGACGGCGGACCACAAACAGAAGGGAGACGAGAAGGCGTCAGAGACCAAGGTAACCGGCTCGAACACGACGACCAGCTTGAAGACAGGGACAGCGATGACGACGGATTCCATGATGAATAGGGTCACTATCACCGTCAAGACAAGTAAGAAATTTTCGACCACGACCAAACCCCGTCGACACCAAAAAGAAGCTCACGACGAATGGGACGCTGATGGAACTGTCGCAATACCAGGGCGACACTACAGCCTCGACGACGGCGGTACTAGATGAGTTTGACGACGACGTAATGCACGCCGAAGCGACAACGCTGCAGCTAACTGATAGAGAGATTACAGTGGCACAACAACGGAGCCGACTGGTGCAAACTATGTTGAAGACGGGAGATTACAAAGGAATGAATGTGGAGTGCGTTTTGGATTGGTAGTTATTGAAACTCCACGTGGCGGCGAGTAGTTCTGCCATCGACGCTCTGGTCGGTCGTATCCAAGGAAATGCATGGGTCGATCTGGACGGGACATTTGCGTGGACCCCACACATACGGACGAGTGGCTCAATTGTACTGATGGCCAGGATTACGGCGCGAAGTTAATCGCTGGGTGCGTGGCTGTCAGGAGTGCGGGAGCAGGAGCGCGCGACCGCGAGAAGTGATACCACCGCTACGGAGCCTACGGGGCGGTGACGTTGGAGATCGATGGGCGGTGGACGTAGCTGGACTTTTCCCGGTCGCCGAAGGAGGCGAACGATACATTGTTGCTGCATTAGAATACGTGACGAGATATGCAGTCGCGAGAATTGTTGTACAACACACGGCAGAAATAGTGGCAACGCTCTTAATGGAAGACGTGGTGTTGAAATTCGAAGCCTTCCGTGTGTTATTGACTGATGATGCACCCGAGATGACGGGCCAGACGATTGAGCAGCTAGTACTACTGCTACAAGCAAAGCAAACGAGCCCCGTTCCCTATCGCTCGCAAATGATAGACCTTGTTGAACGCTTCCATCGCACGTGGAAGGACTGCGTCTCCACGTTCATGACCGGTGAACTTCAAAGTGATTGGTGCGATTGGGTACAATGCGCTGTATTTGCGTACAATTCAGTGCAACACTCAACGGTGGCATTGGGCCCCAATGAATTGATGATGGGTCGAAAGTTGAGGCCTCCGAACGAGTTATTGAGGTGGACAGAGCGCAACGAAGCTGGCGAGTTAGTACAGTACCATCGTCAACTAATGGCAGCGATGAAGCATGCACAAGAGAGCGCGGATCAGGCGAGAGCAAAGGAGCAGGCACGTCAAGCTTATTACTACACCTTTGCCAATCCAAACTGGTGGTAGTGTAAACCAAAACGGAGTGTCCCTTATTTAGAAATTTATTTTTTTAAAAAATTAGAAATCCCCAAAATTAATCCAGACCAATACGGATTTAGTGTAAAGCAAAAGGATGAAGTATTTCTTGTTCGATGGTCGCCTCGATAAGAGTATCTTGTCTTCTACAGTACTGCACATGCACCACGTACATTACATTAGTGCATTGGCTATAGCCACGAGCGCCCCGCACCGGACGCCGTTATAAGTGTACGAACTCTTCTTAACGCTGACCGTCCAGGCAAGCAGCCCCAACACGAGCGCTTGATGGCACGTCAATCGCTGAAGCGCCGTTTTTGAGACGCAAACTCAGAGCTGCAACCCCTCTCCTTCCATTCCCCACGGCCGGTTAACATCTGCAAGCGCAGCCCAAAGCTCTCATCCTTGATGTACTCTGTCTACTGTAATCGGGTTGCTGGCCGTCTTGGTCCCTCTATCGATGATTATGCAGGCTGTTCAAGCTGAGAGGTCACTGTGTGCACCCACACTCTCGTGTTCTGGCGCCCATACGCAGGTTCACGCCCCCTTACATCTTTGTGTGTACTTCAGTCCGCAGCGAGCCCGTAGTTCGTATTGCTGGATGTGTCACTCGCGTTCTTGCCAGTTTGCACTACACTAAATCTACATTGCTCTAAAACCTAATTTTGTAAAATTATTCCTCAAATTTAGATGTTACTTCGGTTACACTACCACCAGTTTGGATTGGCAAAGGTGTAGTACTACAATAGGAAGGTGAAGTAACGACGGGGCTTTGAACCGGGTGATCGTGTTTGGGTGTATAACCCTCCGAGAGGGCACAAGGTCACCAAGTTTATCCATCAGTGGGTGGGTCCGATGAAAGTGGTCAAGCCGGCTGGATATGAAAATTACCTGCTAAAACGAGAAGATAAGACTGACCAACCAGAGCTAATGATAGCTCATTCGTCGTTCTTGGTGATACACCATTCACCAACGTCTCTCCTACGACGCGCGGTCGATAAAATTAATGAACAGATCGAACATGAAGATCACTGCGCACGGAGGTCGATGACACGGCGACAGGAGCGCCTGTATTGGCAACGACGGCGAGTAGGAGTGGAGGAGTGGAGGAGCGTCAGCAGAGTCTCGTAAGCGACGACGAAGCGCTGGCTAGACACGAGCTACTGAGGGAAGACGATGGCCGACGCGAAGCGGAAAGTCTGGGTTGGTCGCGATGAATACGAACGATTACACCGCAGCGGCTGGTTCGTGAAAGACCCGGGTGTTGAGGAAGTCGTGTAGCAGGGTGGCAGATGCGTCAGTCTGCCTAACGGACGGTGGCAGCTGGGCGGACTGGGATGACGAAGAAACAACTAGTTACAGCGACTGGTCAGGCAACGACTAAAGGGCGCCCTAGGAAGATCGTGCTGAACGAGCGGTCGGGGGCAGCTTAGAAAGATGTCGGGCGACTAGTGCGAGCAAGACGGCGGAGAAGCAGCAGCAGTAGACAATTTGCCGGCGAGTACGCGGACGGCGACAGCACTAGAGATCTGTTGGCGAACTAACATGCGGCAACGGTGAGAACTGCGTCTCCGCGTGAACAAGCGGAGCCTCGGCGAACACGGACGAACCGGTCTCTAGTGGTGCGACGGCGCTGCTGGACGACTGCAGGTGGACTACGAATGACAGCGGCTGAAGTGTGCAGCGGCTGAGAGCGGACGACGAGTGGACGGACAGGGTAACGACCCGAGTCAGTCTGGTGTGGGGTGCTGTCAACGGACAGGCCGAGCTTCTACAGTCAGGCAGGTGACGCCGAAAGCTTGGACGTACGAAGGAAGCAAACGTACACAGAGGTGACAGTCAGAAGTAGTCTGTATTGATTGATATTGAACTTAAAAAGAATATGTGGCGGAGCCAGTCGGGCTCACACCGGCGCGGGAGACAATAGTTGTCGACCGACGGCCATCCGGATCTTGGACGTTCATCAGCACTGGACGAATCAAACTCAGCGAGTGGAGTTAGCGGCTCGTTACAAAGGTGTTTTATGAAAATCATTAAAAGTGCGCTAGCATTAAAGTTTCCGGAGTAGGATGTTGTTTTGTCAAAGCTAAAGGTGCTCTAACGCGAATCGCAGAGTACAGCCAGCATAGTCCTCTTGTAAACTGTTCTTGGTAATGTCCTTCGCCGTTCACGCACACGGTCTGAGAGTAATGCAGTAGCAAGCTGCACTGTCAAGCGCATGTGGTTTCAGAATGTGTCCGCTGGAAATGGGCAGACCACGCCACCCTGACAATACTCAGCTGCTCACAAATTTGAGATGCTAATTGATCCTGAACCATTCACATTTGGTCGCGAAAGAGATCGTTGTTGGTCCGGATACACTCGGCAACGTCAATTTTCATCTTCGTTACGACATTGTCTTCATGTGCTTCCTACTCTGCCTTCTTGTTGCCAACTGAGCTTGGTTAAGCTATAGGTTTTATGAGGGACAGGAGGTCATACGTAGGCCAAAATCGAAGGGCCTTTTTGGCTAAAAAAAACACACACACAAAGATGAGATTAAACACTTAACTGCGATTTACTATAGTGTTGCGTTAAACCAAATCGTAATTTATTTATTTTTCTATTCAACTGATTCCATCGTTTAAAAACGGTTGACAAAAAGTGTTTTAATGGAATCGAGCATGAGCTTTCGCTCTTACAAAAAAGAAAGAAAAAGAGTTGGATTTTGCTTTTCTTATCTTTTCTTTCTTTTAACCAATCATATCGCCCCGATCCACTCTTTTTACAAAAGAGCGGTCACCTGACCTTTGGCAACCATGGCGTCGACGTCGGCTGCGCAGGCCGAGATGGTGGCGAGTCTGATCGGCGAGAAGGTGCTGGAGACATTAGACCAGAAGGAGCAGAAGCTGGACGAGACCATCAAGAAGCTTGAAGAGGCAGACGACGACGAGCTGGAGCGACTACGCGAGAAGCGGCTGCAAGCCATGCAGCAGAAAGCTCGCAAGTCGCAGGAGTTACGCGCGCTGGGTCACGGCGAGTACTCGACCATCGCCGACACCCACGATTTCTTCGAGTCCATGAAAAAGAGCGACAAGGCCGTAGTCCACTTCTTCACGCCGGCCAACGCCTTTTGTCAACTAATTGACGACCACTTGGCACGTCTAGCCCCGCACCATCTCGAGACCAAATTCGCTCGCATTAATGCGGAGAAAGCTGAGTATCTCGTAGACAATCTTGGAGTCTGGATGATGCCATGTATCGCTCTAGTTAATAAGCAGAAGGTGGAGAAAATGGTGCAAGGTTTGGATGAACTGGGAGGCTCGGACAAGTTCTCCACTGCCTTCTTGGCGTATTACTTGGGTCTGCACAAGGTGTTGACGTATGAAGGCCCAGAGCCGGAGAGTCCATCGGACGACTGTGGCGGGGCATATGCAACAGGGAATGACCCAGTGGCAGCGAAGCAGCAGCTGGACCAGGAACGGATCAATAGTATCCGTCAGAGTATCTTCTACGACAGCGATCTGGAGGAAGACGACTAGTGCAGGACTCTTGACACTAACTGTCCATACTGATTGTGGACAAAATATGAAATAGCTACTGTATTTTGCTGTCTACTTTTGTGTTCTATGAGTCGGAGTGCTTGGAGGCGAGACATTGGTGGCGATACGCGCGTTGTCGTTGCCGCAAATACTCCTTGCTATTGATTTTACTATGGTCTGACGCGTTGACAGCCTTGTCGAGTGTGTCGTGACGCCATTTGGACAGGTGGGCGAGTGTCCAGCTCTCTTTACCTCGGGAAATAACAGCTTCGGCGCGGTCTTCAAGGCCGTAAGCGCGGACGTCCATGACGCTGGGAGCTGTAGCCAATGGTTGCACCGACGAAGTAGTAGACGTATCACTTGCACAAGTCTCTTGTCTCTTAGACGGCGATGAGTCTTCCTTCTGTACGCCACCGAGACGCTTTAGCGACCTCTCCATGAACAATGAGGTAATAATGCCTCACGACTGGTTGGAATATGGTGTAAATTGAAAAATAAAAAAAACCGATTGGTCTAAAATTGAATTGACAATAGTTGCAGTTTTTAAAAGCAGCACCAACAGTCAAATGGGCAGTCCTTGGTGTTGCCGCCCTTGCCAATCTGCAGCGAGGCCTCCGAGTAAATGGGCAGTCCGTCCTCATCGTAGCGAACTGATAGCATTTGACCAGAAATTAGCATTTAACCCAATGATAAATCCATGTCATGAACGTACCAGGTCTCGGATCCGGATTGAGTCCAGCAGCAGTGGAGTTTGTATCTATACAACAGCAAAGTCAACACAACTACCCACCTACCTATGAAAAGAATAGAAAGCAACGTACTCTGAGCCTCGAGCTTCTTGATCTGCTGCTGTAGTCGCGCTTTCTCCTTCCTTTCACGGCGCTCCTGCTCCTCGTCGTCAAGTTTCTGCTGTTCTTCAGCAATGCTCTTCTTCTGCTTCTCCGTCTTTAACGACGCGAACAGATCGTCGATCTCTCCGCTATATGCCTTTGGTTTTCCCACCTTGTCGTTTACAGTTGTGTCGTTAGCTGCTGCTGCTCCAGAGCTTTTCTTTTTCTTCTTTGCCTTCTTTTTCTTAGCCCCGTTGGAGCTCGGAACTGCATTCGCTGCCTTCAATGTAGGTTTATCTTCCTTGTTATGTGGCTTTGAATCATCTGCAACTGCTGCTTTGGCCTTCGCATCCGTCGTCAGTGTTTTCGAGAAAGCGAACTTGGCTTTCTTCTGTGGCTTCTGCTCGGACGGCTTGGACGCTGCAGCCTTTACATTCACACACACAAACAAATACTCAGCACCACACATTTCATGGTCATTGCGGCTTGCGGTCGTGCACGTACAGCGCTGGTGGCCTGCACACGACTCCTCTTCTTCTTGTTGGACATCGGTGGCGGTGAAGTGATTATATAACTCGTAAGTTACTGGTACACTGTCCCTAATTTGTACCGTAAATTGGGTACAATGGTCAAGTGCAAAGTGACGAAAAACGTCAGACGTTGCACGTGCGGTACCGACGTACGTGGCGTTGTACAATGTAGATTAAACTCGATTGCATTAAGATGCGTGTGTCGTTCCTGGACTCACGTTTACCACCTTATCTACTCCGTCGCGCTGGGCGCCACGCAGCCTAGCAACACCCACTCTTCTTTTTCTTCTTCTGGCTTTCGGTCGTGTTCTCAGCCGTAATTGCGATACTGTTACCCGTAGGCAAGCTGGCTGACGCGTTCTCCTCCGCTTGGATAGTCTTGCGACTCATGAGTTTGTAGATCTCAGTAAGAATGCGCTGGAAGGCTGAATCCACGCCCGTAGCCTCCAAAGCTGACGTCTCGATGAACGCCAGATTGTTCTTCTCCGCGAAAGCCATTGCCTCTTCGGTCGATACTGCACGCAGATGGCGTAGATCGCTCTTGTTACCCACCAACATTATGACCGTGTTGGCATCTGCGTGGTCCCGCAGCTCCTTGAGCCAGCGCTCCACGTTCTCAAACGTGCCGTGCTTGGTAATGTCGTACACCAATAGCGCTCCTACTGCACCGCGGTAGTATCTGTTAATAACAAAATAGACCCAAGTCTTAAATAGCTGCTGACAACGGCATCGAAGCAGGGCGGGGAACGTACGCGCTGGTAATCGCTCTATATCGCTCCTGGCCGGCTGTATCCCAGATCTGCGCCTTGATCGTCTTGCCCTCGGCCACGATGGACTTAGTGGCGAACTCGACACCGATGGTACTCTTGGACTCGAGGTTGAATTCGTTACGCGTGAAGCGGGACAGCAAGTTGGACTTGCCGACGCCAGAGTCGCCGATAAGCACGATCTTGAACAGGTAGTCGTACTCGTCTTCTCGAGGCGAT